GCATGCTTGATACTAGGTATCTAAGGCTCTCAAAATCTTAGGAGCTTGTTTTTATACCCATTTTACAGAAGAGTAAAGAGGACTAGAGAGTTTCCTAGACTTGCCTGAGCTAGGAAGTGGCTGAACACAGTCTTTTGGCTTCCTGCTCGTAGGGGTGGAATGTTCCGCCTCCAGCCTTCTGCTGAGCAGAACCAGAGGAGTTTGCTTGTAATCACATTGTCTCTTATGGTTGACAAGTCTATTATTGCATTTCCTTTTCAAGGCAGTTTTAATGTTGAGGAGCTTTTTCTTATAAGTCAATTTGCCAAAAATAAGCAGCCAAATCATGATTCTTTGTTTTCTATGGTTTGATGAAACTTTCTGGCTTGAAAAAACTTCCTTTTTTATAGCTGTAAAGCAGCCAAGGCTCTCCACTGGGGCTGGTGGAAACTTACCTGTGTGACCGGAGCAGGAGGTCCTGGGTCCTTACTGTTCCCGGCACTCACTGATTCCATTCCAGAAAAGGGACAGAGCAGAGCAGCTCATTCATTTTACTTAGCCTGAGTCTCAAGTATTTTAAAGGGTGATTTTGAGCTTTATTGTCCTGTTTGTGGACAACAGTGGTGAGGTAATCCAAGTGTCTACCAACAGGAGTGTGGCAAGCATTCTTTAATCTTTGCTGTTCAGCCTCCGTGGCCAGGGGTATTTGGGGACTTTGTTGTCCCTGGAAACCTGGAAGGAACTATTATCATGTCTTTATCCCAAGTCATAAATTTACACTCATTGGAGAGAGAAGCAAATTTGGCAGAAAGACTGAGTCAGTTAACTTGGTCTTGACCTCTAAGACAGGATTAGTAAACAAACTGAATCTTAAATTATTTATTATGTTGGTCACAGCAGCTGGAGAGTCCCCAATAAGTAAAACTTTAACAATTATTTATTATTTCACATTGCTCATTATTGGTCATTTAGAATCCTGATACCGTTACTGATTGAAAAATAAAGGAAAAACAATCTTTCTACTGTAGAACATGGCGATTTTATTTAATGACAGAAATATTCTTTGACTCTTCTTACTCTTCTAGAAGAAAATGTTCCACTGAATAATTGATGCTTCTGAAATGAAGCCTTGTATTTTTATGATACTAGAATAGCTTTCATTATCTAAATGAATGTTAGACAGCCCTGAATATTAACCATTTTCATACAATAAACATTCTGAACATAGGAAAATTCAGCCAATTTGATTGTTCTCAGGTGAAGTTCAGACCATGAATTATACAGAACCATAGATAATTGCGGTTGATGGAACTAATCACAATATGCAAATCAGCAACTATTAACAACCATATGAAGGTTTTCCCATGGTTTTGTTCAAATAGGATGTTAAAACTGGAAACTTAATTATGTAACTCAGGATGAAAAATACTTTCACATTTTTTTAAAAGAATTGAGACAAAATCATTATTTTGTATGCTTTGTTTTGATTTTGTATAAACTAAATTATAAGGTGTACCATTTTTGATGACAGGGACAAAATGAGAACATGGCATTGTCTTGTATTGCGTATTCTGGATCTGAAGTTCCTGCTTCCAAGATGTATACTTGGCTCAAAATGATACAAATACCCTTCATATTACTCATTTATACTTAAAAACATTCTTTCTGAAGATTCTTACAGCAGGTCCTTGTTATCCGAGGATAATTAGAACCAGAAAAAGGCCACTTAAAGTAAATCCACTTAAGTGGAGACCAGAATTCTATAACATAATGACAAAAAGCTTTTGGACTTTATCTTGAAAAAAACAAACTGAAAATTTTGAAAATGAGTTAGCTTATATTTAGCAAAAATTAGGTGGTTGTTTTGATTATGGCTGGCTCTTAGAATGAACAATGCAGAAATATGTGTTGGTTATTTTGAGAAGAGTAAACTTTGAGGGCAAAAATAGATGATTCTGTATGTTGGTACTGTTTATATCACATTTGACCTTTATATCACATCATAAAGATGACCAATGTTACAAAAATATTCAAGCTCTTGGTCATTTTTTTGGGAACCATTTAGGTTGTTGGATACTAAAATCATTCTTGAAATCCCTAATTTTGTCACTAACTTTAAATTTTTCATCCTAAATGATTGTTTTCTAATAAAACTGCTCAGTTCCACTTGCCATTGTTTTACCTGTTATTGGGGAAAATTTTCTAATGCTGTTTTGATTTTCCTCGTGAGGTCTTGTATTTTGTGACAAGTTTTGCAGTTTCACTTTGTAGTAGACATATATCATTTTGTGGGAAGTACAAAACACTGACAGGATCAGACATGGACAACAACTATAAACAAGGATGGATTTTTGAGTGGGAACTCAGTTCATAAAATGGTTGGTTATTAGAAAATATTTTAGTGTTTTGAAGATGTGCTTCCCTGAACAACCTTATAACTAGGGATTTCGATAATGAATACTCAGATAACAAGGGCCCCCTGATTTATTTGTGTGAATCTATCCCGGTATGCACTATAAAAAAGAGACTCATCATGGGGATACCCCAGGTCTAGCCTCAGTTCTGCCAGTGCATAGCTGTGATTGTGGACAAATCACTTGCTTTTGGCATAAATCTACTTATCTAAGAAATGGAAAGGTTGTGCTAAAGTCCCTTCCAGTTTTACATTCTGTGCATCCACATTGTTGGCTATTTTAAGCCTGGCAAGCAATATCATTCTGTTTTCATAGATTCCTAGAGTTTAGCAGACATCAATGACTTCTTCTTTTAGTTTATTTGCACTATATAGCATAATAGATGGATAGATAGATGATAGATATGCATTTTATGCTTTCGGTAGCTTCATCCATACATAATTATGCTTTTGGTAAAGTTGTCATCAGCACTTTGGTACAATTTTAAATTCTGCTCTTTTCACTCATGTTATCTCGTGTTTGCACATGTATTGTAACCTTAATGCTGCTCTCTGATTCACATATATATGTTCTAATGGCTGATAGTCCCTTGAGTAAGTATGTTTTAATATATTTAAATATATCTTGACCATTGGACGGCTGAGCCCCTTGAGAGTTTTTGGTGTTTTTGGCCATGTTACCATAGACAACTTTGTAGATAGATACTTTTTTTAAAAAAGAACATCTCACACATGGCACAGTTCTGTGTGCATTTTGGCACTAAAGTGCCTTTTGTCGCTCTATAAACAGGAAGAAACAAACTAAGGCAGGGCGCCCAGCTAAGTGAAGCAAGAAGGAACAAAAGAAAATGGGAAGAACATTGGCTTTTACTGCTGCCAAGCAGGGCAAATAGAGATCCTGGGGAGTCTGGTGTTAAATAACAAAGGATGCAGCCAGAAAGGTGGAAATCCAGGACGCCCCCCCTTCCGCTGCCACTCTCGCCTAGCATCTGAGCACCTGGGAAGGCTGGTGACTTTTGGCTTCTGACTTTCCCTGGTCAGAGCATCAGCCCTGTCCAGAGAACAAAGTCATCCATCATCCCCAGAGGGGAGAACATCTGTAGGATCCGCTGGGCTCACCCCTGCAAAGCATCTACAAACCGAATTAGTTAATGCCACATGATTAAAATTGCAGCACTTTTCACTTTTATTCTGAATCTTGGAACTATTCAATGTGCCCTTGGGGGAAAATAGTTTGTTCAACCATTGTAATTAGATTTGCTACCTCTTACCCAGATAAAGGAAGCATAATTGACACTTTCCCCTTCTTGCTTGTTAATATCTCCTTTAGTCTGTGGGTATCTTTGCTTCCTCTGCATCTGCGGGTAATAGACTTGCAATGCTTGTTTCACAAGTACCGAGGTGGTTATTGGGCAAGAAAGGGAACTATGCACTACTGAAACTGGGGGTAACATGGTTGTTTGCAATAGATGATTTCAAAGCCAGGTTCAAGTGGATTCAGTCATAGCAGTTTCAGTAATTATAGAAATTATGTGTCAATTTCAAATTCCACTGTGCTAGGTCTGTGGGAATAAGGGATATTGACAAAGTAGGAGGTAGTTCCATATTTTCAGGTGTTAATTTAAGGGCAAACCAATTATCCCATCTTACATCTATATATATTTCTGTGCTTTGGAAGTTGCATCCTGTAATTTTCAAAATGTTTTTCCTTCAGGTTCTAGCTACATTGGATACTGGTTGTTTTCTAAAACTGAAGGAGAAGCCCATGAAGGAATGGCGAATTCTCTTTGAGTTTCGACAAACAGAATAAGAGGTAATTATGATTTCAGAATGTATTTGCAATACTGAATGGAGGTCAGCTGCAATAGCAACAAACAAACAAAACCCAAGCGTTTTAGAGATTTGTCTCTTATAAAAGAATAACTGGTTCTATTCTGATTTGTTATATGAGGTGGATTTCTTTTTAACAAAATTTAGCATAGTCTTCTTAAATATGCTTTTTCAGGTAGGTTTGCCTGAGAATTAAGGTGTTACCTGTCTAAGCAGTCAACTCCTTTACTTTTGACTGCATGCCTGGGCCTGACTGCCATGCCTGTTCTATGTGACAGCCTCAACTTTATAGAGAATATGTGAAAAACTCCAAGATATAAGTTACAGGAAGACAGGTAAAGTGTAGGTATCCATTTTTATCACATAGAAGTATGATAAAACTCAATAACCAACCACCCTCGTCGCTGCCCCAGTCCCAGCCCATTTAAGCCCAAGAATAACTGATGGCCTCACCTGGATAAGATCAGTCTGTCTTTGGCTCCAGGAGCCATTCCCTTTCCTGGCCATCAGACCCTGCAGTTTGCTGTCCTCTCTTGGCCATAATTCCTTACTTGGCTACTCTCAGTTCTCCTGCTTCCCAAAACTCCCTACCAAAAGCTCAGGTCCACCCTTAGCTTGCCTGTTGGGATGCAAAAGATTGCCTTTCCCAAATCTGCTCACAATATTTTGTTCTTAGGGACAGTCACCTTTCCTGCTCTTCCATTCTCAAAATATCAATTTATTTTTCCCCTCTTCTCAAGTTGCTCTGTCCAATGGTTAGATTTATAGAAAAAATGAAACCACATTTAAATTCATATTGATCTACTTTCTTAAGTAAATTGATCCTAACATTAATGGGTAGAGCATATAAATAAACAGATTTGAATTCAGCATAAGAATTTTTTAAACATGTGACTGTCTAATAAACAGGTTGTCTGGTCTGGAGGAGGATCTCCACTGTTGGAAATATTTTTATAGAAGCCACATGCCTGTCTGACAAGGGTGCTGCAGTCGAGAAACCTCCCTGAATTGGGAGACAGTCAAATTAAATCTCTCTAGGCCCATTTTAACCAAAAGGAATTTCATAATTTCCCAATGGATGTCCCTAAGGAAGCAAAGTTTTATGTTTTCACACGTTCAAAAAATTACCCAAAGATATTTAAAGATATTTTGTTCTTAGGGACAATCACCATTCCTGCTCGTCCATTCTCAAAATATCAATTTATTTTTACCCTCTTCTCAAGTTGCTCTGTCCAATGGTTGGATTTATAGTTAAAAACAAACCATATTTAAATTCATATTGATCTACTTTCTTAGGTAAATTAACCCTAACACCAGTGGGTAGAGGATATAAATAAATAGATTTGAATTATTTTCACTTGCAATTTCTAGTGCTTCTGTCATGCTCTTGAAGTGACTATCTAGCTCACTGCAGCCTTGAACTCCTGAGCTCAAGTGATCTTCCTTCCTCAGCCTCCTGAGTAGCTGGAACTGCAGGCACATGCCCCATTCCCAGTCAATTAAAAACATTTTTTTCTGTGTAGAAACAGGGTCTCACTGTGTTGCCCAGGCTGGACTCCAACTCCTGGCTTCAAGCAATCCTCCCGCCTCTTCCTCCCAAAGTGCTGGGATTACAGGTGTGAGCCACCATGCCTGGCTTTGGGGGTTGACTTTCTTTAGACCTTCATTCTCAAGCATATATCCTGACTGGCTTGCTCTTAGCCCTCATGAAACTGAGGGCTGTTCAGGAAGAGAATGATTTTTGTATGCCTGTAGTAATTCCATGGTGAAGGGCAGTGCAGAGGGTTCCTTGGGGCGGTGGGGGGAGTCCAGTGTGCGTGAAGAGTGAGGGTCTGGCACAGGCTGGGTGTGGCTCCAGTGAAGCTCTTGGTGCAGTTGAATCAGGGCAGATGACCATTAGGATCTACTAAGGGAGAAAAGTGGTCAAAGTCCGTCGGAAACGAGTGTCTGGTTTGCAGGGCTGGGAAGAAGAAGTTTGCTATGAGTTGATCATAAGCCTGACTGTTTGGAAAAGCTTAGCATGACCTTTGAACCCCCCTCCTCTGCTACTCTTGAACCCTCATGGCCAGCTCTCCCCTTCGCCATTCTGTGGGGACAACAGGAGAGTAGTTCCTACACCCGAGGTGAAGCCCAGCATCTCTAAATGTCTGAAGGCCCTGTGGCCATCCCAGTGGATGATACAGACTTGAGCCTGTAAAGGCGTATTTGAATTTTAACAGAATGTTTTCACTCCTCTTTCCTCATCAGTCTAATACTGGAAAGAAGTATTTTCTCCTCCTTCCTTCTAAATGCAGCATCACTTTGCCCTTACCTTATGCCATTGGTTGGGCTCCTTTTATTAGTTACCATGGAAAAGTTCTATCATCACTGATCACTAGACTATAAGCTCTGTGAGAAAAAGGATTTCTTTGTTTTGTTTGCTACTTTAGACCAGGCAACTCAAGTAGTGTGTGGTGCATAATAGGTGCATGATAAACATTCACCTAATGCGGTAACATATGCTTCTCTGACTAAATTGAGAGTGCCTGGGAGACAACACCAGTCCCTTCCTCCATGAGTTCCTTGCTGGGCTGACTCAGCAGCTGCCCTCTGCACTGGCCCTGGTCTGTGGGATATGACACCTGCACTGTGGGTTGTGGTGAGGTACCCACAGGTGGGCTGCTCTCTGGAAGACTGAGGAGGGGGTACTGTGTTGGAACCCTATTGGTGACCTTAGGTTAAGCTCTGCCGGTCTTTTGCTTAAGGCATGAGATGCTTCCTGAGATACTCATGAATGAGATGTGGAAGAGAAGCAAAAGCCAAGAACCAATGTGGTTGCCCATGCCAGGACCTTGTCACTTACTGTGTTCACCAGCCCCTCCCAGGAAACTGTCTGATGGCCTGAACTGGGGGGGTGGGTGGGGGTGGCAGGAAGGGCGTGTGCTGCGTGTCACAGCTGAGCCTTCTCCTGGGTCAGGTCTGAGAGGAAGTGTGTGGTAAGTCACTTGGAGGCAGAGGGCTGTCCTCGAGTGGGGTTAAGGTGGTCTTCGGTGTCTCTTTCATGCCTATCTAGGAAGTCCTGTCCCTGTTGCAATAATGAAGGACCCAAGGCGGCCCAGTGTGAAGAGTTTTGCTGCAGTGGGCCCAAGGCGTGTTGGGGCAGGTAAGAAGTTGGCTGAGGAGTCCAATCTAATCCTGATGATCTGCTAACATCTTTGAGCGGCTGCCCTAAGGGGCAGTTACAGCATTTGACTTCCTTTCCCAGATGATCATAAGGAGAAGGGAGGTAGGCAAACTTTTCCACAACTTCTATGCTAATGAGTATATCTGGAAAGGACATTTTAGGGACAGGAACTTTAAGGCACAATAATAGTTACCTTCTGCTCAGATGACAGATACTTTTGACAGTTAAGAGGAGGATTTTAATTGAATGTAACTGTGAATGTATGCTCCTTGCCTCCTTCCTCTCTTTCTCCTCCTCCTTTTCTTCCTCCCCGCCCCTCACCCCAAACACACACACTCCCTGTTCCATCTTTAGAAGTTTTCATGCCTTTCCAAATCAGGCTTTGTGCTGAGCCCGTCTCCACCATCATCTGTCCCCAAGTCCTCATTCTGTGTCACTTGCTTGCTACTGACTTCTGTCCCCTCCTCTCCTGCACCTGCCCAAGTCTTGCTTTCCTGCCCATCCTCTTGGACACATACTCTCTTTTCTTACAATTTTGTTCTCCCTATACCATGCCCTCCCCTAGAGTGACCTGTCCCTGTCCTATTCCCTGGCATGGCAGTTACACATGCAAATCCTTATGATGTCATTCCTGCCCCCTCTCCACTGGGACCTCGCCTCCTCTCTGCCCGGCAGTGCTCTGGGCTTCTCCTGGGCCTGGCCTTCTCTTGTCCCTGGGTCAGCTGCTTGTGAGGCAGGCTCAGCAGGTGATGCCCATGCATGCTGGTCATCTTCTCCCCTCCTTCCCTGTGCTTGCTTTTTTTGATTTGCACTAAACTCCATCGCTCTTCTGAAACACACAGCACATTTTTTACAACGTGCATCTTCCAGCTGTAGTCCCGGGGCTACAGTAGTCAGCATGGCATGGGGGCCCTTCTGATGCTGGCTACCATCCCCCATCCCTCCTTCATGCCATGGTCTAGTCTTAGGGACTGACTCTCGCTTTCTGAAAATACACAGCTCAGCCTCACAGCCTTGCATAGGTTGTTCCTACTGCCTGGAATGCCTTTCCTTTCCTTTTCAACTATCTAAATCTGACTGATCACTAAAGAGATCATTCAGGAGCCTCGTCCAAGAAGCCAGCTGGGTCAGGTGCACCCATGGCTGGAGGTGGGGACAAATTAGAGCATATGCTAGACTGTGTGCTTGACATGCTAGTTTCCTCAGTTAAACAGACTTCTATAAAGCTGAGACTGGCCCCCTGGATTGTGGTATCTAGCCAAACCGAAGGTGTATAGAAAGTGGCTGGCTTTTTGATCATCCATCTTCAGACTTTCCAGTACTTTTTGCTTTAGGCTATTGTTTTACTAACAAAATATCTAATGAAGAAACCCCATCTGATACAGATGGAAGTTGTCCCTGTTTCTCCAACCATGGCTTCAGTGGCTTTGTTAACTACTGCTTCTCCTCTCAGGCACATTTCTCAAGCATATTTCCTGACTGGCTTGCTTTCAGCTCTCTTGAAGTTGAGGACTGTCTGGGGAGAGAATGTTTTTGTGTACCTGAAGTAATTCCATGGCAAAAGGCAGAAAAGAGGGTTCTTTGGGACAGTGGGGGAACCCAGTGTACATGGAGAGAGAGGGTCTGGCACAGGCTGTGTGTGGCTCCAGTGAAGCTCTTGGTGCAAGTGAATCAGGACAAATGACAGGGTCTACCAAGGGAGAAAAGTGGTCAAAGTCTATCAGAAATGAGTGTCTGGTTTGCAGGGCTGGGAAGAAGAAGCTTGCTATGAGTTGGTCATAAGCCTGTTTGGAAAATCTTAGCATGACCTTTGAACCCCC